GGTTCATGGACCCCTGGCTGAGGTACCCGAGTTAACCCATTAATCACTGGGAGCTAGTCAGCACTCCTCCTGTTCATGACAGTGTCCCACTGTGGGATGCACCCTGCTGGTGGTCTCACCCTGCAAATTAGCAGGAGAACTGCAATTGGTACCACTTGCTGGCCCTGGCCTTCTGAACTGGTACAGGGACAGATTATCCATTAGGCACAGTACCTAGGGCCTATGAACAAGTTTAAGGCCTACAAAAAGTTTAGGGCCTAAAATTCATAATGGACTCAAAAGTAAGAAAACTGCTACATCAAATTACACAGTCGTAGCAGCAACATCCCCTTACTTCCCTTTAGCAGCCAATAACTATCAGGTACATCCTAAGTATAATTTAGTCTACATCAAAATGGCTGTATTGTAGGGTAAAATGCCATGAATTGCTCACACAGTGCACCACTTTCAAGAGCAAAAACTAAAGTGGGCAATATTAGGCATATAGGCCATTTCTCCCTTATATATAATCTAATTTAAAGGCCTGTGATTAGGAGCGTGCCTAGGGCCTACGAAGACCTTAATCCGGTGCTGAACTTGTGCCCTTTAGAAGAGTCCTCCCTCAGCACTGAGATGTTCCACACTGAGGCTGAGAGGATGCCGATGCAGCATCTAGCGCCAGCTGAGGGTGAAGTGCTGATTCCATGAGCAGATGTTTCAGTCGGGAGTCCTGCTCCTTCTTAGTTCTGGGCTTAAAGCCCCTGCAAATCTTGCAGCTGTCTGCCCATTGACCATCATCCAGGCACTTACAGCAGGAGTTGTGTGGATACCCTCTGGGCACAGGCTAAAAGCTCCTACCACATGTCTTAAAGCCCTGAGACAAAGGCATGCACTGGTCCAAAAAAAAAAAAAAAAAAAAACCAACTAAAAAAACACCCCACAAAGGGGGCTGCAACTTAACTACACTAATGCTAAACTAAGAACTCCCATTTTCAAGAGAGATAGGAAAAGTCCACCAGGCAGGCACTTGTGAACACAAGAGACCAAACTGCTCCAATGATTATCACTGGCAGCAAAAATGAACTGAACAGGTGGTAGTTTGGCAGGAATCTATGTACACAGTCATGAAGGCGTCACTCCAGGGGGGTTCACAGCTCACTCAATGTGTACTACTGCTAAGGAAAAGCCTTCCAATGGTTGTGCATGTGGTGCACGTGTACCTAATTGGAAGGGATATGAGCAAGCACTTGAAGAAGAACAAACTAGTCTCTTTGAAGATGAATGCCATAGGAGGTCTGATTGGTAGAGAGATATAATCATATATAAGCATGAACAGTATGCACATTTTGTGGAGTTAGTGACTTTTCACATATTTTGCTGGATTCCTTACAAACCAGGGGAGTTTTGTTTTCTCAAAGTGAAATTTCCATCTACTAGAACGTTGGCTGGGAAAATGTTCTCTGCTCGGTAAATCAGTGTCTGGATGGCTTGTAATTCTGCAGCCAGGATCCTCTCAGATTCCAACAATACCTCCATCAGAAATCCAAATGTAATCCCCAGGCCTACCAGGTGTGGTTCACTGTCCCATGTAGTGGCACTTAGCCTCATTTGCTCTCTCTGTAAGTGGTCTACGTCTATATTGCGCCCGTTTTGTGCAAAAAATATGCAAATGAGGCAAAGCATGGAATATCACGGTGCTTCATTTGCATAATTAATTAGCAGCCGTTTTTGTGCAAGAGGCTTTTGCGTAAAAAGGAGCTGTGTAGACAGCTCCTTTTTGCGCAAAACCCCCCTCTTGAACAAGAGCTGTTTTTCTGCATTTTTTCCAGCTGTCTACACAGCTCCTTTTTACGCAAAAGCCTCTTGCACAAAAACGGCTGCTAATTAATTATACAAATGAAGTATGGCGATAGTCTCCTCTGCACTTCATTTGCATAAGCTTTTGTGGAAGATGGCTGCAATATAGACGTAGCCTGAGTGTTCGACAGCCTGAGCTGAGAGCCAGCTGGCTTTTAGCTCAAGCTGTAGAGGTTCATGCACTAAACTCCAGAGGTCCCAGGTTTGGATCTACCTGCTGGTGTTACACAAACAGCAGCCAATCCTTCCTGGAAAGAATCAGTGAGAGGCAGGCAAGCCAATCATATACCCCCTTTTCACAGACTATGTCCCCTATGCTAGCTGATAGTAGTTTAGGAGTCTCGCTGGTACTAGAGAATCCCTTATGCTGAAATGATCTTCCCAGGGCTAGATACATCTGCTTAGGTCCAGCATCCTCCAATAATGTGATGCCAAGTGATCAAGCTGATTTCATTTTGCCAACTACAATCTCTCTAGTGGGTCTGGATATCATGAGACTTTGGAGAAGTTCACATCTGGATTCATTGCAAAAAAACCCAATATAATCCCAATCCGATTTATAAATTTATCTCAACCAAATCCCAGTTTTAGTCCCAAACATGGGGGCTGCGTCTAGACTGGCATGATTTTGTGCAAATACTTTTAACGGAAAAACTTTTCTGTTAAAAGTATTTGCGCAAGAGAGCGTCTATACTGGCATGGGCCTTTGCGCAAAAGATTTGCTTTTGCGCAAAAGCATCCATGCCGGTATAGACGCTCTCTTGCGCAAATACTCGCGGCCAGTGTAAATAGACGGCAAGATTTTGCACAAAAGCGGCTGCTTTTGTGCAAAATCTTGCCGTCTATTTACACTGGCCGCGAGGATTTGCGCAAGAACACTGATTTTGTACATTACAAAATCAGTGTTCTTGCGCAAATCCTCGCGGCCAGTGTAAATAGACGGCAAGATTTTGCACAAAAGCGGCTGCTTTTGTGCAAAATCATGCCAGTCTAGACGCAGCCCTGGTGTTTCACGCTCTGTGCTATTCTAGTAGATGTTCAACAGTTTGTGGATTATATTTGTTCCCCAGTGAATAAAAACAATAAAAGCAATTAGTCCCTAGTTCCTACAGTTTGGAGATACATACTCCTCCTTTATAGGGAATCTAAACATTTTACATAACTATCTGACATTAAACTGTCATAATGTGCTACAGTTGCAGAACTCCATATTAAGCATAATGTGCACAACTATGCCAGTGTGGGTGGACAATATAATCAGGCCATCCTCAAAGGCACCTACATTTGTGAGCAGCCTACACACCATACCTGTACGATGGGACTCATGATGGCTGATTGTGATAAGAACTTGACTACTAAAAAGAACCAAATAAAAGGTCCTAATTTGAATTTCTGACTTACATACTTTATATGTATCCATGACCTCTTTTCCTAGACAGACTCAACCTGTGTGTATCCTGTAAGCCCCTCTGATCTTTGAATGTTAAATATGGCATAGTGGTGAATATACATATTTTGGCAGGCATACAGAAAAGATCAAGTTTCAGGATCTAATTTGATTACTTTACATGGAACAAGTTAAATGTATGTGTTTCAGAGGGGTTTTGCTTGATCTCAGTATAAAATCAATCAAAAATTCATGTTTTATACAAACTGGTAGAGAGAAATAGACAGTGATTCAAAATATGTATGCGGAAAGACTAGGAATGAAGGAGAAAGTCCCATTACCCAACAGCTAAACAAGGGAATGTCAAGGAAAAAACCACTCCAGCCATAGATCTTTGTCCTAAATCATGCCTCCCTTTTCCAAACTGAAGGAAAAAAAAGAGAGTTTTGCCATCTTAGATTAAGAATATATTTGAACCAGTGAGTCCAATTCCCAATGTCTTGGGGATGCAATTCCATGGGGTCAGATTAGAATTTAGTCCATAAATAAAATCTATTAATGGTCCTATCTGGGATACTAAAAACCATGACACTAATAACTTTGAAGTATAACCTAAAGTTAGTAAAAGACAGGACTATGCAGCACTTTAAAGACTAACAAGATGGTTTATTAGGTGATGAGCTTTTGTGGGCAAGATCCAACCATCTTGTTAGTCTTTAAAGTGCTGCATAGTCCTGTCTTTTGTTTCAGCTAGACCAGACTAACACGGCTACATCTCTATTACTATTCTAAAGATAGTAAGTTACTGTTCTGTCAAATCATCTGTTCTCAGTTCTACCATCTACATGCTCAACAGTTTGTAGATTGTATTTGTTATCCAGTGAATTTAAAATCATGAAAGCAACTAGTTCTTAATGTTTAGAGATACAGACTCCTCCTGTACAGGGAATTTAAACATTTTAGATAACTATCTGCCCAAAGATCTCTTTTATCAGTCTTACCAGTCACATCTGGCAGGTATATGGGTGATCACAAGATAACAGGCCTCAGTTCTGCAACCACTTATATATCTGCTTAACTTTGACCATGAGTTGTCCCTCTGAAGCCAATGGGATTGCTCAGGTCAGTAAAATTAAGCACTGTGTGTGTAAGCATTAGCAGAAACAGAATCATAGTTTGCTACCTTAAATTGTCTTTTGGCAGCCCACTGGATTGCTGAGTTATACCTGAATTTGTCCACATTTCTGTAGGGGACTGATCTCAAAAATAGCATAAATCAGAATGAAATAAACACAACTTCACAACTTTGTCTCTTTTCCTATACATGTTTATTGTCTGTGTTTCAATAGATTTATATCCTATGTTAACACATGCTGTGGAACACTACAATAATTAGCAGCCTCTACATTTATCTGTAATCTTTTGAAAGGTTTTCTATGTATACATAGTATAGAGTACCTGTAAAAATATTTTCATCAACCCTTAAGATTATTTATTAGGTAATATGCAAACAAGGCTTTTGTAATAACAATAAAAAAGCACTTACTCACAATTACCTCAATGAGAAAAAATGACTGCAGATAATACCTTTAAAAACCCATTTTCCTCTCTTTTCCTCCTCCCTTCCCACCTCCAATGGGTGAAAAGCCAATAAAAGAATTCTCCACCTCCCACAGAGTTAAGTACTGGATCGGTGCACATTTTCCCTTCCACACTTTGGGATTTAGGAGTGGTGAAAAAATTAGTTAACGTACTAAGGAATCTTAATTTCAAACAGTTCCATACTTTTAAAATGGTTTTTCTTGCTGGCATGCTACAGGTTGAGAATTAAACATTTTTCATCAATTTCAACCCAGCCTGGGTAAAAAAACACATTTACAAGATGTCTCTGGCACACTTGAATTCAGCTAACCAGACTTCACAAGCCTCGGTCAATATTACGGAACAACTGAGATCCATCACTGACAACGATATTGTAGATCAAGGATGGAATGAAGATTCCTTTCCAGGATTAGAAATACTGTGCACAATTTATGTTACATATGCTGTGATCATTTCAGTGGGTCTCCTTGGGAATGCTATTCTCATCAAAGTCTTTTTCAAGATTAAATCAATGCAGACGATTCCAAACATTTTCATAACCAGCTTAGCTTTTGGAGACCTGCTGCTTTTGTTAACCTGTGTGCCAGTAGATGCAACACGTTATATTGTGGATACCTGGCTCTTCGGAAGAATTGGCTGCAAGCTGTTATCTTTTATCCAGCTCACTTCAGTTGGAGTATCAGTGTTCACTTTAACTGTTCTCAGTGCTGACAGGTAGGTTTGTAGCAATTTAGTTTCTCAGGAAATATTTGTGCATTATGATAGAAATGAATAAAAGGGAAGAAGACATCGCTTTGCATTAAAGTGTAATATTTAGTCTGTGGCTAGATAAATATGATGTTCCCATTAAAAGCTAGGTGATTTTTTTCAATAATCATTAAAAATCAACTTCAATTAGTTTAAGTTAAGAGATCTATATTCTCTGAAAAGTGTAAAATAATTATATTTAATTAAGTGAATTTAAAATTATTTTAAAATAATCTGATCTTTTATTAGTTTTGTATTGATGAAAGAAAGACATTTTCCCCTCTACTGAATCAAGAAAGATAAAGATCATGGCAAAGAAAAGATAGTTTGTACATTGGTGCTACCTAGTGGTGTGCAGAAGTAATCAATGAAGACGAACAACACACTCTCATGTGAAAATGACAAAGGACAATGGGAATCCTTCCATTCACTTCAATGGGCTTTGAATCAGGCTTTAAACCTCTAAAACTAAATTGACTGCCACTTAGGGGTACTCAAAAGCTAAGTATGGGACACATCCAGCCCACTTAATTAGCCTCATTAACAATCAGAGGTGAAAGTAAGCAGGTGTGCCGTGGTACGCAGCTCTGGCAAAAGCTGGCTGAGCTGCAGCAAAAGCCAGCAGGGAGCTATTTAAAGAACTGGCAGTGACCTAGGTTGTAACAGGACAGTACCTATAATAAATTTCAAGGTACTTTCACTGCTGCCTACAATTAACACTTGGTACTTCTTCTGCTGCTCTCTCTCTCTCTCTCTCTCTCTCTCTCTCTCTCTCTCTCGCTCTCTCTCTCCCGTATTTTCCGGCGTATAGGGCGACTGGGCGTATAAGACGACCCCCTATCTTTTTAATTAAAAGATAGGGTTTCATCTTATACCCCAGCGCCCCTCCGCCTCCTTTGCTCCTGGTGTCCCTGGTCTGCTGGAGATGGTCCCCAGCAGACCAGAGGCACCGGGAGCAAAGCCGCAGCAGCTTTGCAAAGCCTCGGGGGAAGCCGGTGGGGGGGCATCCCAGGCGGGCCTGGGATGTATACCCGGCGTACAAGACGACCCCCAATTTTTGGGGGATGTTTTTTAACATCAAAAGTCATCTTGTACGCTGGAATCTACGGTATTACAATTGGAAAAGGTACAGAGAGGACAACAAAAATGTTTCATACCCCTCCTTAGCTTCTGTATGAGTAGAAGTTAACAAGACTGAGAATGATCAGTTTAGAAAAGGGACAACTGAGGGGAGGTATGGTAGAGGTCTATGAATGGTATGGGGAAAGTGAATAAGGAAGTGTCATTCATCCTTTTACATACCCCAAGAACCAAGGATCATCTCTGTTTCTGTTATATCCACTCCTATCCATCTGATGAAGTGGGTTTTGCCCACAAAAGCACATGATTCTATATATTTTGGTTAGTCTGTAAGGGTATGTCTACACTGCTGAGTTTTTTCAGAAAAATCTTCACTTACATCCACACTGCAATCGCGATCTTTCGAGAGAAAAACAATCGAAAGAACAGAGGGGTTTTTCCCACATTGGTAAACCTCTTTCTACAAGGAAGAAGCCTTTTTCCGAAAGAGCTCTTTTGGAAAAAGGCATGTATAGAAGGGGAAGAGGGAGTTTTTTTGAAAGAAGAGGATAGAGGAAAAAGCACAGGTGCCCTGGTGGCCACTCCATCCATAGTAATCACAGCTGAAATGCGAGATAGCGTCCATTCGGTGTGGATGCTATCTTTCGAAAAAAGCAGATCACTTTTTTGATGTGCTTTGGCAGTGTGGATGCTCTCTTTCAGAAAAAGTTTTTTTGGAAGATCTCTTCTGGAAAAGCTTCTTCTGAAAGGAGCCTGCAGTCTAGACATAGCCTGAGGTGTCACAGGAGCCCTTGTTGTTTTTACAGTTGCAGACTAATGCAGTTGCCCCTAAAAAAATGTATGAAGAAAACTGTTAGTTCAAATAACTTTGCAGACACCTTTAAAAATGTGAAGGATATTGCAATATAATAAATAATGTTAAGTATGACAAGTGGTCTCTATGATTGAGAGGCAATATGGCATTGTTTCAATATTTTAATTTCTATTGTATTTCTAGTTCCTGTAGCTTTTCTACTGGTTTTACTTCACAGAACCTCAAATTAAACTGAGACTAATTTGAATACTTTATTATTAGAGCACATAAGTGCTTGCCTCTGACTGACTTCTTAAGTGATTCTGATTCATTCATTTTCACCAAGATGCATTTACAATGGGCTTTATTTATGACTGAATAACAACAAGTACAAAGCAGCAGTCTAATGAGCATGAATGATCAAAGACTACAAACAGTCAAACTGAACTCTCAGGGTTAAAGGAAGGAAATAGATTTTCAAATGTAAATAGGAAAAATAGTTAATAGGAACTTGGTCAGGTAAATACCCTGTAAATGCCGAGCAAGGCTATTGTTATTATAGAATGGAAATAATCATCTAGAAGTAGGTACTGTATAAGGAAAACGGACAATTGCTACTAAATTTAATTCTTATTGGATGCCATTGTAGAATTGCCTTAAACAATATTTTAATCCAATAATTAAATAGTTAAAATTATTCTGAAAGTTCAGAACATCTGTTAATTAGAACAGCATGAGCTACTGTGTCTGATTGGCTATGAGGGCCTAAAGTCATTAAAATGGTATTATTAATCTAGTCTGCAGTAATGTGTCTAATTTTCCCTTGAGGGGAAACAGTGGACCAGCTCCCTACCTGGTATAAATTGGTACAACTGCACTGAATGGTCTGCCTTCCATACATATTCCTCTATGTACTGTTGCATTGTATTCTCTTGCATGGTCATTTTCCATGGATTTCCCCCATCTAACTCAGAGCTCCTCCATTCTGAGAGCAGGGAGTGTGGTTCCATGTACTCCCCAGTTCTGATTTCCTCCCTTCATATGCTCTGGTTTCCATTCTGGTCCCTTGCCTCCTCTCTCTGTCTTCTCTGAACACTCGCCTGTCCCCACACATCTACCTAGGTTTACACGTTTCCCCTATGTCTGGTTCAACCCATTTAATGCAGCAGTAAAGCCAGGAATCAACAGCAGGTCACTTTATAAGAGTCTACATATTAATTTAAATCTTGCTCTGTATACATTTGTAATATGAGTATGACTTAGGCTGTGGTCACAGGCTCACAGTAGGAAGTAGACATTACACGATGTCCTATCTTTTAAGTCTTATGCACTTCTGTACTGATTGTTTTGTAGAAGAAATCAGTGCCAAAGTTTTCTTTTGCCTGGTCTAAAAATAAGAACAAATCAGCAGCAACTAAGGAATGGCTTGTTTCAGCCAGCAAGAAAAACGTCCTAGAATGTATAGAGCCTCATGCGAGCAGAACAGTTTATCTGGGGTAGAAAAACCATCAATTTCCAGTTCCCTTCTTATTCTAAGTCTGAGACTGAAAGCTTCCGGATCCTTATTTTAGGCTGAAGTAGATTGGGAAGGAGAGTTCCATTTTTCCTCCTCTGCTTTTTGTTGCTATGTCTTCCTCAACAAAACTTATAATTATAACCCTTTTATGCTTACCTTTAATGTGGAGCATGTGCAACTGCACACAAGATCTTTATATGAAATATCTTTGTAAATTCCCCATTTACCTCCTCTTTGTACACCCATACAGAGGGCACGGCTAGACTGCGAGGTCTAGGGATTGCGTTTGCTTTTTTTTACGGAAGAGCAAGTGCACTCTTTCTGAAGCTCTTGTATTCCTTGTTCTCTGAGGAAGAAGGGGACTTTTGAAAGAGGGGGTTTTCCGAACATTTAGCCCAGTTTAGACGGGCCAAATGTTGGAAAAGCCTCTTCCGACAAAATTATCGGAAAAAGCTACCCAAAATGTGGAGCGCATTTTATGTAGCTTTTTCCGACAAACAGATGTAGTCTAGCCATACCCGGAATATATAACTCTCTCCCTGCCTTATTCTCTTTACACACAAAACCCCTCCAAATACTAGATGGCTCCTCTACTCAGAATGGCCTACAGAGCAAACTGAATTTGGAGTCTGCAGACCAATCTATTTGGGAGATATAATCATTCTGGGGGAGGAAAGTTTCAAGACAATTAAAATCGATAGAATTTAAGTACATGCTTAAAGTTCATCCATGAGCATTTGGCTTCATTATGGCACTTTAAAACACAGAAGAATAAATGCATGTAGTATATGAATATATCTAGCATTTTAAAAAGTGAAACAGACCAAATTCACTCCTTTAAATATCCAAGACAATTATTTCACCTTAGTGGAGATATATCAGGTAAGAATTTGTCCCCACAAATTTAATTTATTGGTGTCACAAGTCTAATGTTACCGCATGTTTTGTAATGCTGTGATGTTGCTTGTGTTTCTAGGTACAGAGCTATTGTCAAGCCCATGGAACTGCAAACATCAGATGCACTGCTGAAGACCTGTTGTAAAGCTGGCTGTGTTTGGATTATCTCCATGATATTTGCTATCCCAGAGGCTGTATTTTCTGATTTATATTCGTTCAACAATCCTGAAAAAAACATATCTTTTGAAGCATGTGCCCCTTATCCTGTATCTGAGAAAATACTGCAAGAAGTTCACTCTCTGGTGTGCTTCTTGGTATTCTATATTATACCATTAGGTGTAATTTCAGTCTATTATTTTCTTATTGCCAAAACACTGTACAAAAGTACGTGCAACATGCCAGCTGAAGAACATGGCCATGCCCGTAAACAGGTAAGTAAGAATCACACACTCAGGTGATTTTAAGCTCTTAAGCATACTGATTGAAATCTTAATGTAATTTGAGTGCAAACATTTTAAATATACCCTATACACAATAGATAAATAATAAGCCTATGTAAAGTGCAGCCCATATACACCTACAGCAATAGCCCCAATTCAGCAAGGCATTTAAGCAGAGGTTTAAATCCCATTGGCTTAATTTTAAGCATATGCTTAAGTGCTTTGCTGAAAAGTGATGGATTACGCTTTACTGAATCAGGATCACACTAAATTCAGGAGTCATGGTACCTTTCACTAAATTCTAAACCCTGAGGGATGGAGCCTACATTAGAATGCATTAGCTAACAAGTGTTAACATCATGCCCTTACATTCTATTCTAGACAAGGCCTTGGAGGGTTCTCTCAGATCAAAGGATGGGAGAGGGCGTTTTATAGTTAGATGCTCCCAAATGAAAACACCCTGTCCAAAGCCACAAAAATATAAGGGTGAAAATGAAAATGCTTTAGTTTCTGCTATGTTTCCATGTTGCCTTTTGATAATTATGACATGTAGACTGACTTTTTATTAAGGGTCTCAGAGCTCTTCAGGGAGTAGCATAATACATATGTATTATTAATACTAGATATGCAATTATTTTTCCCTAGATTGAATCTCGCAAGAGAGTGGCAAAAACAGTGCTGGTGCTAGTTGGTTTGTTTGCCTTCTGCTGGCTGCCTAACCACATTCTCTATTTGTATCGATCTTTCACCTACCACTCCTCTGTAGATGCCTCTGCCTTTCATCTTATAGTCACTATTTTCTCCCGGGCTCTGGCCTTCAGCAATTCCTGTGTCAATCCCTTTGCTCTTTATTGGCTGAGTAAAAGTTTCCGGCAACATTTTAAAAAGCAAATTTTGTGTTGCAAGGCAAAGCTTCCTGCACGGCCTCCCGGCAACACACCTACCAGAGCCTTTTCAGCCACAGGCAGCACAAACGGCTCAGAAATCAGTGTTACTTTGCTAACAGATTATAGTATCACAAAAGAAGAGGAGAGTGTTTAGTTCTTCGATAATGAAGACATGCCAGCATCATGCATTTCCCAAGATTCTAGTGCACCGGAACCCTTCTAGAAGCTTCAAGTAAACAAAATATCGAATCCTTTATACTGTATGTAAAAGCATCTTCAGCAAGAGTTCTTCACACTTGAAATTATAAAATGGAGAAATCATCCCAGTGTGTGTGTGGAAAAGAAGAAACACAACTGGTGCAAGTTCAGTCAAGAGGGTAGAGCCTATTCCCAGGGAATGTTATGCATCCTTTCCATATGCCTGAGGTTTCTGCATGAAGCTGACAAAGTTAAACTCAGTCAAACAAAGTTAAACTCATCTGAGCTGCAGGAATATTTTTGTACTGGCTTTGTATTTGGAGAATTAGAATTGTTCTTATGCTCTTGGCCACAGAGTAGTAACAATGAGCACTGCCTTTTGTTGAGCACCTATGTTGTCTTTGATGTTTTTAAAAATATAAGCAGCTTTCCACAGAATGCCAAACCAGAGAGGTTTATTATTTTCTATAATCTGAAATTAAAATACTCTAGAAGTGGTAGGATGATGCAGAAACAGCATTAAGCTGTGGTCTACACTACAAATGCATGTCAGTGTAAGTGTGTTGCCGAGGGGTGTGGAAAATCCACAAATCTCCCCCTGCTCTCCACACAACAGTTATACTGACCTAGCTCCAAGCATAGTCAACACAATATAAGCAAGAGGGCTTCTTCTGTCCACATAGCTGGAGACCCTATGCCACATAGGTAGTGTTGCCACTAAGTGCTAAGGTGGCACAGCTGCAGTGCTAGAAGTAGAAACAAGCCCTAAGAATCAACAGCTCTAGATCCTATTCCATAGTCTGCCGTTGACTTGCTGTGTGATTCTGGTCTGAGCTCCTACAGTCCTAATTAAGTCCATGGAAGTAGCAGGCACTCACATGTGCTAATGGGGATAATCATACTTACCCACCTTTGTAAGGTAGGTTGAGATCTATAGGTTAAAACTTCCTAGAAGAGGACTAAGTATTAATTAGTATTCTATTGATCAAAGGAGGAAAAATCAATCTGCCCTAGCAACGCGACAGTCCTAGAATAGTTGCTGGGGGTTAGTTCACTTTATAGTCAATGTTAGATTTTTGTTTTCCAGGTTATTAGAATAAATTTATTTCATAGTGGAAGGTCCCCTTGCTCTCAAGACAACTGACATTCTTGAAGAAAATGGGGGGAAGGGCTTGCCAGACAATAATGACTGTAGATGAATAGTCTGCATAGCACAGAAAAGCTCAACAGGAGTACTAGCATAGGCATTCTTCCCTCTCACGGAATGCTGGGGAGCCAGTGTTCCTGTTCAGAGTTTCAAAAGTCCTGGGAAATAGATGTTTTATGGACTTCTGACACCTGAGCTAGAATTTTGCTTTACAGAAGATAAGTGTAACAAGGGAGTTCTGCAGTACACCACTGAGAGTATTATTTCTGGGTGAACTGCTTAAAGACCAGGCTACTTACAGCCCAAGACTGAGGGTCCTCCACTATAAGGCACACCAATCCAGTCACAAAGAGCACGTCTGTTCCCCATTGCTTCCCGCCACTCCCATTGGCCATGATCTGTGGCCAACGAGAGCTGCCATTGTCTCTGATACTTGGAGGTGCAGGTAAACATAGCTGTGACAGCCCATCAGGGACTAGGATCATAGAACACTAGAACTGGAAGGGACCTCGAGAGGTCATCAAGTCTAGTCCCCTGCCCTCATGGCAGGACCAAATGCTGTCTAGACCATCCCTGATAGATGTCTGTCTAATCTGCTCTTAAATATCTCCAGAGATGGAGATTCCACAGCCTCCCTAGGCAACTTACTCCAGTGTTTAACAACCCTGACAATTAGGAAGTTTTTCCTAATGACTAGGGCTGGCGGGCATCCACTTTTTTACTGCTCACCACTAGTGTAGACAATGAATATACATTCTCTCTCTCTTGCTCTCTTTCTCTCTCTCTCTCCTTCTTTCCTGACCTCCTAATACAGAATAGCAAAACCAAACTCTGCAAATCCTGGAGTCATTCTAATGAACCCCTTTTGGCTGCCTTAAACTAGTTCAATGACTACTCATCTAAACCCATCAGACCTGACCTTATTTCAGTGTAATTCTGCATGCTTTATTCTGGAGCCTTCAAGCATTAACTTTCATATGTCTACTACTCTCTTACACCAGGTTTACATCACAGTAATATTACTGAAATGAATAGACATATACTGCCATCAAAGTGCAATTTTATGGAGAATAAGTCTCTTGAATATTCTCCTGCTCTCTAACTTGATACAGGAAATTCAGGGCATTCCTGAACTTCGCACCTTTGGACTCAGCTGAGCTCTGGCTAGCCCCATAATAAGGGGAACATAAAAGTGGCTTCATGTCATGTTTGCTCTCCCTTCCTAGTCCTGTGCCAAGCATAGCTTGGCTGGCGCAAAGAATCAGGCACCATGTATCTTGAACAACATTTAGAAACACGGACAATGCATGGATGGATGAAATGCTCCTGCATAATGAGGAGGTTTGATGGTATTGTGTAGACTGGGGTAGATAAATACCGGCTTGCGGGCCAGATCCGGTCTGCCAGGGGTAGTCCCTGCTAGTCCCACACCTCTATGTTTACCAGCGCCTCCGCAGGTATTGGGTGATCACATCTCAGTAGGATAGGCCTATAATTGATAAATAAAATGACACAAGTATGAACAAACTTTTATCATCATGGAGTTGAGCATGGGAAACGTTAAACAAAAGAAAGAATTATTTCCTCACCAAGAGTTTGTATTTAAATTTCATACTTTCTTATCCCCCTTATGAAGGGCCTCTGGAAAGTGAATCTGTGAAACTTTAGACACTTTCTCTGCTGAAGGCTAAACTTTAGAGTATATAATCATTGGGTGTTCCTCAATATAGCCCCTAGAAATGGCAGCTTCTAAGATCCATCATGTTTCTTGCTTTGCATAGTTATTTTTTTGCCTTCTGTATCTATTGTTCCAAATGAGCTAACTTATTGCTATTATATACTGTTATATATGTATGTTTCTGCTTCACAGTACGTTTGACAGTTAGGGATCAATTATATTGCAGGTCATGACAGGACCTAACCATTCCATCTGTCAGTGACCCATACGTAGGCAGTTGTGCCTAGTACTTGAAGCAGAAGTCAGGCCTAACAGAGCAGTAGTCACTAGCCAGGGTAAGAACCAGAGGCTGAGGCCTGATGCCAGAGCCAAGGGTCAATGTGAAAGTCAGATATTGGTGCCAAAGGTCAGAACCAAGTTAATTGCAGGCAATCCAGGAGCAGGGATGGATCTGAGGCATGTGCTATTATAGTGATGGGCAAATGGCTTGAGCAGCCACCACACTGCTGGGCTTAAGAGCTGATCTGAAGACTCTTCCCAACAATTAGGGCACGTAAGCCCACTAGACGACTACTTCAGGCCAGCGGCACTTATTAGGTTGCCTAGCACCTGGCTCTGCTGCAGCCCTGGATTTTTGACACCATCATATAAAACACTATGGCTGCGTGTAGATTGGCATGATTTTCCGGAAATGCTTTTAACGGAAAAGTTTTCCGTTAAAAGCATTTTCGGAACAGAGCGTCTAGATTGGCACGGATGCTTTTCCGCATAAGCACTTTTTGCGGAAAACCGTCCGTGCCAATCTAGATGCGCTTTTCCGCAAAAAAGCCCCGATCGCCATTTTTGCGATCGGGGCTTTTTTGCAGAAAACAAATCTGAGCTGTTTACACTGGCCCTTTTGCGCAAAAGGGACTTTTGCCTGAATGGGAGCAGAATAGTATTTCCGCAAGAAGCACTGATTTCTTACAGTAGGAAGTCAGTGCTTTTGCAGAAATTCAAGTGGCCAATGTAGACAGCTGGCAAGTTTTTCCGGAAAAGCGGCTGATTTTCCGGAAAAACTGGCCAGTCTAGACACAGCCTATATGGTTTTATAGATCTATCTTTTTCAACAATAATTATATTTGCACTCACATGATATGTTGTGTCAAAATGATGTATTGGTTAATATTTACTTTATCTGAGCAATCTGATGTTACCAGTCTATTCACATAATTATCTATATATAATGAATAATATATTTCTAGACAA